AAGACGGAATCAACCAAGGAGAATTTTTCTCCCCAATACTCTTGAGAATATACTACAATCTATTAGTCAGCTGAATTGACACCACCTACCAAGAATATCTACTAGACACAAATACTCCCTTTAGGACTATATCAACACATGCTTCAGTAGTAGTATACATGGACGACACCATGTGGATTGTAAAAAACAAAACCGAACTACAAGACATACTTGAGACAGTTGACTCATTCTTATCTTATGCAAACATCAAAGTCAACTCACACAAATAAACATTAATATCCAATGACCCTAACCCACAAGCATCCATTACATTCCATGGACAGACCATCCCTAATATCAAACCAAAAGTTATCTTCCAGCACATGAGTGTTTGGCTTACTCGAAATCCCACACTAAAAGTAGCAAAAACTCTTATCATGAACGAAATTACAACTAATATTAACAAAATCCAATATGCAAAAATTACAGATAAACAAGCTATCTATATTATTAACAATGTGATTCTAACACAGGCCATATATCAGATGCAAAGCACATATCTGACAAAACACACTTGCTCCAAAATTACAAGACTTTATACTAACATAGTAAAACAAAAAGCATGGCTCGCCTGATCCATGTCCAATTCAACAATCCACCACCCTGCAATATATGCGCTAAATACACTTTACAGCATCTAACAACAACAACAAATTAGAACTTTAGATTGTAGCATCCACTCACAAAACTTCGATAATTTAAGCATCAAGATATGGCTACAACAACTCCAAAATGCAGCCAACTCAAACCAATCCATCTTCTCTGAACAACCAATCTTTCCCACAAATGAATACAAAACAAATACTGCACAACTAATAATAACACTTTATAATCTAAATATCTAACTAGCATGCCCAACCAATCCATGACCAATCCCAAAACAACTTAAAGGCACCTCAATCAACTCAATCCTAATATCAACCAAACAACTAGCTGCAAATTAAACACAAATTGAATATACATAATATTACCTGCATAGAACAATTCCTCTACTACACCAACACCTACACCCTCAACTAGCACTTATTCCACTATAACAACCAAAAAATTCCCAGAGGAAAAATCTCTCACTGGTTCAAAAATATCACTGACAAGATAACTGACCTTGCCAACCCATTCACTACACTAATTTTCCCTAACCCATTCATATTTACATCAATTAACCCACATATCTGTAGATAGATTATTACCTATTATAAAAAATTTGGCAAAATTACCAGTATGACAAACAATTTAGCAAGAATTAAACACTACACCCAACACCCACTCAATCCAAAACAACTTGTTCTCTGTTTGGGATGTTAGGAAAAAAACTACTCACTTAAAACCAAATTTTGTTTTCAATAACATCAATATACAATATCCAAGTTAACTACAAGAAACAAATCCATAGACAACTCAGTTGCCTATTGTGGCTATTAATATCACATCCTTCTCAAATACACAATACACCTCCCTCTCTACCAACAACAGACTACTATATTACATACTACTTTCTACAACTATTTGATGATGTCAAAACCCAAATTTGGACACTATATACTGACTCTACTTTCCCTAAACACATACAAGTATATATTACAGCTAAATCAAAAATGATAAACTCAACCAACAAGGGAAAAACTCCCTTCTCACAGATTTAGTTTCAACACAACTAGCAAATCTGGTATACTACAAACAAATCCTTCCTATCCCATATCTATGCTATATTTACAATACTAGCAATAATTTACTCTATTCTCTCTTCCTAAACAAAAATAAATATCACTACTGACAAAAGATGGCTACAATCAAAAATTCAATATATACTTAATCTTCATCATATCATCAACAACACTATCACAAAATCCCATTTAACAACATAATATTGACAATAAGAGCAATTATCTTGGCTAAAAACCACATCATTAATACAAACCTATCAGAAAAGAAAATCAAGATTCTAACACCAAATCTTCAACTACATACTAACCTCTCAACACAAGCAGTATTGAACTCCAATTTTATACTCTATATCAATGGCATTCCCACAACATATTCGATTCATCAAATACCTAAAATTATTCAAAAAGCAAAAGCTACTATCCAATAGAATGAACAAAACTAAATCAAATCAATCATACAAAGACTTCCAAATATTAACTGGAAACTAATCTTCAACTATCTAAATTACCAGGACAATCCACTTGGTTGAAATATCTGCTCTACCAAATCAACCTTAAAACCTTCAAAGTAAAACTACTAACTTCTAAATTGCCAACTTATTTACATCTTTATCACAGAAACTCATCAACACACCCCAATCTTTTCTGCGTGAAATGCTCCCAAAAACTTGAAGATACAGTCCACATGCTAACATGCCCACACAATCCAATTAATATTGATAAAATTATATATAAAGCAATAACTAAAGTGTGCCAAACAAACAAGATAAACACACTACCAACTCACAAGTTTAACAAGACTTTACCACAATCCATATCAAAAAACAGATTCCTATCAGATTTATCAGCTCAACAACACCTACAAAATTAGGGTTAACTCTTCAAAACAATACTGTAATTTCACAAATATATCATACCATCACTAAAAGTATACATAAAGAAATATGAAAACCAAGCTAAACTTGTATACAACAATCAACCCCTAATCTCTTGATTATTATTATCTCTTTAGAAACCGATATTCTCCTTAGCTCAATAGATAGACAATTCATTGCATGAATTAACATATTCATTTACAATAATTCTACATTCCCACTCCTTAATTACATAGTCTAGAGGTTTTTAACTGTTTTAGCTAAGAAAAGATCGAGGGTAAATCTTAGCCCTAACTTCTACTCCCTTTCGTTAAATGTATAAATTTGTATGAGTTGTATTCAATTATATATTTTGAAATAAAGGAATAGAAAAAAGACCTCTTTTAAAAAAAAAAAAAAAAAAAGCTTACAAGAATCAAATATAAAATATATAAGATGAATAAAAGAATTACATTCAGATTGAAGTATATAAGCCAAAATATTCTGGTATTTTCAAATTTATGAAAAAGAAAGCCAGAAGTATATATAGATAATCAGTGTATTTTGTATAGAATAAAAGAAGAAATACTAATTCATTTAGCCAGATGTAAGAGATTAAAGGTGTACTAGAATAATATTGAAGATGTTATACTATTATTGGTATAAAAGAATTTTAAGTATCACACCAGAAAAATTATTTTAATAGACAAGTTGAAGAAGGCTATTGTTGGTGAAAGTCACACAGTACATAGTTCGAGAAAAGATGACTATACAAGCAATCTGGTATAAAAAGAAGTACTAGTTGCACTAGGTAATATGGGTCACACAAAAAAAACATGTAATTAAATAATTTGTAACTATGTTTAAGTTGTTGAAGTGAGTTTTCAAAATGAAATATGGCAGAGATGCTGCAAAGCAATAGCCAAATAGGAGAAAAAGAACAGAATAACTAGTACACAAAAATGTAGTAAACCAAATGGTACTGGCCTAGTAGCTTCAAGAGGTAAAACAAAGAAAAAGAAAATACAGTCTTGTAGCATTATAATGAAGGAAAGCAAGACAAGCAATAATGAGGAGTTATCAAAAAAAGATCAACAAAGAGAAAAAAAAGCTAAAGTTGACAAGCTAGTTAAAGAGGTATTAGATATAGTAATAAGAAGTAGAGAAGCTTCTTTCTGGTTTAGTTCTTAACAGAGCTGACAAAGTCTCCTAGCCCGATAAAAAACCAGTATGACAGGTTGCATTTGGGCACTTAAGATAGTAGCCAGATAATGTTTGGCTTGCAATTTTAAAATTAGAGCTTTTATTAGAGTAGGTTTTCTTTTACTATAATAAGATAATTTTGTATTTGAGCTCCAACAAGACTATTTAAGAAATAAAAAAATAAAAAAATAAAAAAAAATAAAAAAAAAATTAAATATATTAAATTTGTTTTAAAATATTATAGCTATTATTAGATAAAACCTTTTTGCATAAAGACAAAAAATAAAATCTAAACCCCAAAAAGACAAACCTTTAACAAAAATTAAACCCCAAATTTTTCTAATAAAAAATAAATTTTTAAACTTAAATAATGAATATTATACTCAAAAAAATAAAGCTCTAGCTAGTGTATCTGCTAAAGAAAATTATTGGTTTTGTTGAATTAGAATTTATATTTTATTCATTTTATTTTTCTGAATAATGCTAGAGTAGTTATAGACTAGTTAAAAAAACCTTGTTAAAAACTATAATATTTACAAGTTAGGATTACAAAATAAGCACCAAGCGATTTCTCACTAGAACAAATATCTAACAACAATAATTACAGTTCGTTTAAGTAAAAATAGAAATAGTGTATTTTGATTTATAAAATAAGACTTGTCATTATTATAATTTGTATTCTTCTTTGTCAATACTTAAATGTATATATCTAGTATTTGTCTTTTTTTTAACTTATTAATAAAAAATTATTAAATAGTAAAAAAGAAAAAAAAAAGAAAAAATTTCCCGGCTGTGTAGATTTAAAATATATTATTAAGCTCGAAAATATTTTTGCATTAAGAGCAAAGAAAAAAGTTTGTAAAAAAATTTTCAAAATATACTTTAACGAATCAATTATTACAGTATCGATTGGGTCACACAAATCGGATGATCGTCACGTGAACGGGAAATTTCTTGTGGGTGACATGTATAATTTATTTTAATAATCTAGTCAAACCGAATTTCATAGTATTGTGAGCTAGTCTTTAACCTTTATTTTTACGATTATTTCGCTCAGTTTTTAGAATTTTAACAGCGCATTTCCGAAAGAGGGTTTGTTCTTCCGCGGTTTTTTTCTTTGGAACCACCGGAATATTGGAAAAACATGGAAGTCCAGTGGGATTCCAACTTCAAGTCAACAACACCAAGTGACAGTGAAATTGACTTTAATAAGGAGGCAAAAAGAATCGCAGATTTAGATATGCCACAAGCAGTAGTAACTAAGCTCATTAATAACGTGGTAATTTTTTGCAAATTTATTGTGACGCTTTCTTGGTTTTGTACAGCGCGTCTTGTCTTTATTTTTTTTTACACTGTGTAAAAACACGGCCAATTTATAAAATTTTCCTCATTATTATTATTCTTAATGCATTCAAGTTGTGTGGTAACTCAATAGAGGAAGATGCAAAGTTGGCCGTAATAAGATCCACCACTCAATTTATTAGTCATCTCACCTCAACGTATCCTTTTGTTCATCATTGATCTCTTTTATGAGGTTGACCAAATTATCTTTAATTTATACATCCTATAACAGAGCGAATAAAATTGCAAGAAATAAGAATCATAAAAACATACAACCCGATGATGTGTTTAAAGCCATAGAAGAATGTGAATTTGATGAGTTTTTACCAAAGTTAAAAGATGAATTAAATGGTTTGCCCCTTTTCTGAATATCTTTTGTCGATTATGAACCGTAATTAATAAATTAAATTTTTTTATCAGCATATGTGGAAATTAAAAGGTCCGCAAAAGCAAAACAGAATGAAGAGGAAAATGTTACTGGCGGTCCACCGTCATCATCTATAGTAACGGATTTGCCTTCCGATAGCGGAGTAAAGGTAGAGATTACAATACCGAACGGCGACCATGTCACAAATCTATATAGTTAAAAGTCAGCGTTTATCCGTCAAAGCAGACTAGTCAAACTTACTTCCGTTTAGCATGAGAATTCAAAACAACTAATTTTTTATATAATAACCCAGACACTTTTGCAATACATTAAATACAGTATAGTGTGAACTACTCTAAACATTATACTTGTATATTCTCTCTATATGCATGTTCTAGTCTGGTCCTGACTTGGGTTGAGGTACAGGTTTTTAGGCATGTCTTTAATCCAAAAGGCAATTCTTTTACAGAGCGATCTCCAAAATTCCGGTCGGTACCTTGGTCGGTTGGGTAAAAAATTATCATATGAGCATTTTTTATAAATTTTGTGATTTTAGGATAAAATTTTTAGTATTGGCCCAGCCGACTAGGATTCCGAAGAATTCCAATAGATTCCGACCAAAAATTTTGGATCGTCTTGGTATGTACGTACGTATGTTGGTATAGTTATATGATCGCAATTTGGTATTTATAATTCATATAAAAGTATGGTGAACACCACCTCAAAATCCATAATTCATTCATTAGCAGTGACAATAATACTCGGTTTATAGGTTAGACGTGCAATTAATGATATTAGAAAACAAACCAATATCAGAAAAACAGAACTAAAATTAAACGAAGAGAAATAATATTTAATATATTTTTCAGTTTAATGAATAATTGTATGTATGTAATATGTATATTTTAATTTATATTCTTTTTATATGATCCAAACAAAATGATGATTCTATTTACTTGGATTCACCAAAAATATCATTAATAAATTCAAGTATTTTTCCGGCATCCTTCCAATAAATAATTTGTGGGCTGATTCGTCTGTTCATATTCTTATATTTGTGGGAGGACGGTAAAGTATCATTTAAAAAGCTTGCAAGCATGAACCCTTCACGAGCCAAGAGGATATCATTGCTAATATACATAAATAGTCAAATTGAACAAATCGAGAATTTGTAAATATGATATTGACAAGCTATAATTTAAGCATACCTAGACATTTTGGTTGCAGGACAAAAATCATTAAAAGAATCACCAACATAAATAATTTGGTAATATTCATTCGGATGTGCTGATAAAAATTTAATAAGTTCATGACCTTTACAAATATTTTCCGAACATGGATTTTCACATCCATGAGGAATATTATTTAATCTCCGAATATGTAATCTTCCGTCTTCATCCCATGCAGCAGGATTACTGATAATACTAGATATTAGACCGTTGACTTTATATGCCTAAAATTGGCAATGTCTAATATTATAATTTATTCGCGGACTTAAATTCGTAAAATTGTCCCACAAACCTTTAATATCTCTTCAATATACACTGTGTTAGCATCTGAAAGAATTATTATATCGCCATTAGCGTTCTTAATCATTTTAAGCGCCTCAATCATTTCCGGTTTCTTTGAAAATTAGTAACTTAAATAAGAGTAAACACGAAAACATTAAGGTCTGTCATGGCAATACTTACGAACGGAATTGCTGCAAATGCTTGCTCAATTTGTTGTTTAGTTATGCCTTGTTTATACATTTCACCAATTAAATAATCCCTACGAATTTAAAATTTACTATTTAGATAAAGGTACTACTAAATCTTTAGTTAACTAAAGAGAATATTAATACATTAAATCAGTCCACTGATATTTTCCTCTTAATTCATTTATCTGTTCTGCGATTGTTGGTGACAATTGTTCAATTATCCAAACATCTGAATTTTGGTCTATAAGAGACCTTTAACAATTCAAAACTAGAAAATTAGTTTCGAATCAATTTTTAGTATGGATTGAGTCGTGAAAATGAATCTTTACCAATCAAAATCAAATACAACTAAACGCTTCATAATATTTAATCAACTTATTACATGATCTTGGTAGCTGTTACTTGAATTTATCAGATACCTTTTATATTCTGTAGTATAAAAAATTTAAGAATGGAAAAATATATTTAATAACAGTAATGTATTTTTTAGGGAGCTATTTTATGGCGACCCTCGTGATGACTATCAAAATCATCTTATGATTGTAGATTATAATTTTTTTAAACTTTGATAAAGATATCTTAGCAACACTTAAAAAAATTTTATGAACTTTTTTTATTTGAATTCTGATATCTTCTACGATTAAATAAAAAAGTTAATCGAATTTGGTTAAGTAAATGTTATTTTTAATTAAAAGTTTTGCAAAATTTTAAACTTTTATAAAATATCGTGGCTAATGCTAAAATTTAGAGTCTTCATTTAAATCTATATTATATATTTACTAAAATTTACATATAAACTTTTACTAACAACATTAACTCTAAATCCTAATCTAATTTTTTAAAAAAAAACCTTCAAAATTTTTTAAAATTTTATTGTTATAAAATGTATATAGTTCATATTTTATCTTTATTAGATTCAGAAAATTGTACCAATTACAAGATATAATATATTAGAAACAGATAAGTAGTTAGCAAAATAATAACAAAACAAGTACATTATAACTTATAGTATTTATACTTTTTATATTCTTTATACTTTTTATACTCTTTATACCTTTTATACTTTTTATACTTTTTATATTTTTTATATTTTTTATATACTTTATATATATTTTTTATTCTTTGACAAACCTGCTAGACATTTATAAGAGAACTATATTCTATATTATATAAAAAAAACTGATTTTTACTACAAATTACTGGCAGTGATCATCACCACTCCCAGATATTTTTAGGGTTAGGGTGTGGTATTAAGAATTATTTTTTTTTTATATAATAAAATATAGAGCTATTATAAAGTTCTAAATTTAGTTTTTATAAAGTTTTTGGGGGTCCTGAACATTTTTACTTAGGATACCCGATCCTGTTTACTTAGTATGTTTTTGAGATATAGATATCCCGGTGATGGTCACCACCAGTTATAGTTAGTAATATTCAAAAAAAACTATATTATAATATAGATGGTTTATTTTTTGAAAAGATTAGCATTACAGTTAACCTCTTTTATAATTACATGTTTTGTTTACTTAATAACTTTTTTAAAAAATATGCTTATAAAAAGTTGTGCTTATATAAAAATAGTTTTTTATATGTTTAATAATAATTTGTTTTTAAATATAAAATGTGATAAAGAGAAGTTTTTATATAATATAATAATAGAAAGGATAATTGTAAAGTGGGATAACTATAGTAAAAAATTTTTAAAAAAATTTTTTTGTTTTTTAAGAATATAAATTTATAATTTTATATTTTTAAAAAAAAATTTAATATATATTATTTTTTAGAATTTTTTATTTTTTCGCATATGCAATGTATCGCACTCTATAAGATCTGGTGTAACATGAAATCAAAACAATAAAATTAATTCGTTAGTTTAGGGTTAGGGTGAGAGTTAGGTTAGGTTTAGGTTAGGGTTAGGGTAGAGTGCTTTAGCAAAATGGTTCTACCCAAAATTTTGAGAGAAATTTTTTTTGTTAAAATCTGAGAGATGGTTTCATAGACAAAATTTCTTGCTATAGCCGATTTTTGAAAAAAATTGTAATTGCTTAGATTTCACGTTACACCTGATCCTGCACTCTAATTGGTTGATCAGGGTGGTGATACGTTGCCATGGTGATAAATTATAAAATCCTTTAATAAAATCTTAAATATTAATTTTAGCTATATATTTTCTAAATAAAATATTTAATTTTAGATTTGTTTTATTAA